TGGTAAAAGTGGTATGTTGGTATAAAAAAGGTCAATGGTGTGAAACATTAGAAGTAATGGACTAACCCCCCCCCCACGAAATAGATATTTGACGTTTGGGCGAGTTTACGTTTTTTGGGGGGTGGTGGATTTTTTTGGGGGGACTAGGATGGACCCCCCCCCTGGAAAAAATTTCTGGATCCGCGCCTGACCATGCATCTGTGGGTACTTTTTACTTCCGTAATCAAAAGCTAGTTTCGCGATCCGCTCCACCTGGTAATTATTTTTAACCCTCCTCCCTATGAAATGCGGAGGGGGTTACTGGCTCGAGATGGAGGATGAGCGAAGAAGTGCAAATACAAATGTACAATATAACATTGGGGCCAGTCAATCAGCTAAAATGACTCCTGCATGGCCACTCTTTCCTTCCCTCGGGATCGCCTGAATATCTTTACTTAGTGACTACCCCCCCCCCCTAAAAAAAACAGAAAAAGTCCAGGATTCGTCCTTGTCAAAGTGAGTTTGATTATTGACAACAGCATGATGCTTGCGGATTGTGTTTAAATTGCAAAAAAAAGTCTTTTGAAACACCAGTTGTAATTTATAAATAATGATTTTTTCATTTATGACTAAATATATAATTTTATTATATATAATATTTATTGTTTTCCGTAAAAAGTAGGGAAAATTTTGATTGTCGAAAGAGTTGTCTTTCTTTACATGCCAAGGTTACCTCCCGTCATTTATTGTTTACACTCGCTAGAGTGCGCGTTGAAATAGAACGATGGTCTGCTACTTCAGTCTCTGAAATGGAAATTTAATGATCAGCGGTGTTTTCACATTCTCAACATGAACTGAGGTAATATTCGCATGCCTTATTGTAATATCCTATTCCTTCCTATCTATAACTGAAATAGTTCAGTTGACTAGTTGTTTTGTAGAACGTAAATATTTGGCAAGATTATAATGATCCTGGCTGCTTTGTGAATCATTGTTTTATTCACTGAATCAAAGTGTATCGGTTTTTTGAAGAATGGCCATTCATTTCAAATGACTTCTTTATCACATGGAATTGTTTTGATTTACTTATGCAGATCATTTTCATTTTCTCAATATGAATATGAATGAACTGTGCAAGTGATGTTCTTGTATGAAAACTATATTTTCAATTTTGCTTCATTGATCTCTCAGTATTGAAACTTCATCACTGTGCCTTTATCACAAGACGGCTCAATAAAATATGTATGGCATGTTTCTGAAATGGTGACACATATTGACGATGCTCGGAAGTAGAGGCGACTAGATTGAGAATTCCTACACTTGTAAACTTGGGACATTTATGCACTTAGTAGCCTTATAATCTGACTATTAAAAGTCAAAATTTAGCAGATTGTTTTGTAAGTATGTATGATATTGAAAGTCTAAAGCTCTTAATTTAATGTTATTTTAAATTTGGGATAAATTATACAAGGAACATTTTTACATTAATACATTTGAAGAAAATTACAAACAAATGTCCTTATAGTTCCGTACACAAGTGATATGAACAAACTTTAGGGATATGATGTAAGATGCCTTAATTGCTTCTGACTTTATAGTAGATGGTAAAGTTTGAATGGGAAACTCTAAGAGCTAGGCTCTTGAAGTCTTGCACTAGATGTGTGTTACATGTTTCGTTGAACTAAATCAAGAATGAAAATATCCTTTTTCTGTCAAAGTGTCAGATTCTGATAATTAGTAATTCTGACTGCTCAATGCTCCCCTAATGTCTTCTGTCTCTTCCAGAAGTCATCACAGACCCTTATAGAAATCTTTAATTTATGATTGTAATGGAAACGCTTAACATCCTTCCCCCTTGAATCATTAATTATGTGTTTCACAGTGTTTAAGACAAAAGAGTAGATTATATGTTAGATTTCACCAAGCCTAGACAGATGTTTGAATTTCCTTGTGAATAACATGTATGTAGAATTTGTCAAATACTTTAATATCTGTTTTTGACTGCTTACTATTTCTTGTTTAATGATTATGGCTATGAGAGAAGGGATATGGATGTCAATATTTTTTTCCAATGTTTCAGCTAGTTAGCATTGTTATTTTTGGAATGCGAAGTTTTATAAATCTACTTTAACTTTAAGTTACTATCTGATAGTCTTTTTATGCCATGGGTATTGAACTATAACTTGATCACCTTTGCATTTAAATTACCTTAAGCAGAAAAAGAAACAATTCATATGTCAAGGGGTAAAAATTTATGGCATGTTTGTGTCTTATATACACACTATGTCCTACATATATGTGAATTTCCTAGTTAATATGAGGAAAATGGCTAAAAGTATAAAGTGTATGTATTGTAAGTGTACATCTTTGCTTTATAGTTTGCATTGTACATAGATTATTTAGGTAAAACCGCTTAGTTTTTGTGTGCATGTGCATGACTTAATCATGTTAACTTTATGGTGATCCATCTTTTATTTCAAGTGAAAAAAATACCCTCTGGTTTCTTACCTTGCCATTATCTGTCATTTTAAACAACTTTTTAAAGCAATTTCTTTACAATTATTAAATTAGTGAACAATATGAATCAATGTACTATTTATAATTTTTTTTTAAAAGTTGAAAAACGACAATGACAAATTGTTATCCACATTTTAAGATTTTCCAAAATCCAGGTGTGCTTTTCCTAGATCTTATCATCTGTGAACTGATACATTTGTCTGAATGATGAATACTAAAAGGTGATGATACACTTGTATGGGAGGAATTTATTTCATGTGTCACCATTTTCTTTGTTTAATGGTAATGCTGTGATTTCACATGTATAAGATTTTTTTTAACATTCAGTACATAGACTGGCTTCAAATACCCGGGTACTAGTGATTTCTTGCATGTTTGTGGAGAAGTGTTCTTTTTCATAAAATCACTTACTTTCACTCAGAGGGATTACTTATAAGTTGATTTTCATTACAGATCCATGCTTTGAGAATACTGGTTCGTGTTCTGAGGACACTGGTTCATGTTCAGAGGACACTGGTTCATGTTCTGAGGATATTGGTTCCATTGCTCTGAGGGGACTTGAGCAGCCACAATGCCAGGATGTCCAAGGCAAAAGACAAGACCATTCGCCCCCAATACTACAACATGACATACAGCAGTAGTTGTAAGTAAAATTTGGCCTTGTTCTCAAACTTTAAATTGGATTATTATTTTGTGTCAAAAGCAAAATATTTTTTTATCAAGTCTTTCCTTGCAGTCACAAATTAATTCTGCCGGATAGCTTAATTTATTTTGGGGGAGCGTGATTTAAAAAATTCTTTCAGTAAGTTTAAGTTATATCATATTTCCTGTCACTCATTTTTTTAAAAGTTGGCTGTTCTGAGATAACAAAGAAGTTATTTTAAAATTATGTCTTAGCATGCAATACAAAAAATGAAAGCACAAATTCAATGTAGTTTTAAATGTTATTTTTGATTCATAACCTCAGAAACATTGAATGAAAATATACCTGTATGCAAGACTTATTTGAAATTTATCACTCAGGAGAATTTAAGGGGGTTAAGGAAGTACTTGTATTGGCTCTCTGTAGTCAGTTCACCTTGATAGTTCTTGAAAGGTCTTTTTTGTCAATGAACTCAGCACAGAATAGAGATAGTGTTGAATAAGGTCGTCATAGGTCATTTGTAATTTTGATTCAAGATTTTATTGCCCTCCTTTTCTAATCTGTCTGCTTGGAATGGTCTAAAAAGTATGAATTTAAGAGATATAGGTTTGGTTGATGGTGGAAATGAAGTTGTCCCCTGTGTCAGTGGGCAGTGTGGTGGCTATTTGTCCCCCCTGACAGGTATGAGTGGTGATAGTGGTCAAGTACATGTTGTGGTCATCTGGTCTGACTCACTGGTCAGCTATCTATGTACAGCCAGAAGGAATTAAGTGTAGGTGTGACCATGTCTTTACATATCCTTATCTACCTGCCTGACCTAATGAAGCTGATTTGTGTTTTTGATAATTGATAATGAAACTAATATGTTCAGTTTATTAGCATAGGAAAGCTGTAGGCTAGTGGTTGCAATGTCATAAAGTGTATAGCAGAGCAGAAAAACCTTGTGTGTATGATTCACCAATGTATTGATCCATCTTAGGGTTTACAAATGAGGTGTTTTCTGCTTTTTTCACCAGCGTTTTTTTAGTTTGTCCTGAAATTAGACTGTTATGGCTAAGTTCTTTTTTTTTTTTTAGAAAACAAAGTGATGAACAAGAGAAGTGTCACATGCCCCATACAGGGATTTAGTAGTAAAATTATTGCACAGAGAAGTTTGCAGTAGTATCACAAATAATACTTAAATGCTTGTAACTTCAGTACAAAAGTTGATTTGATGAGAAATATGCCTTAGTATAAGGAGGTTTGCTATGATGAGTTTTGAGCAGCTATTAAGATAAAGCACCTCTTCTCCTTTCCTTGATATGATTAGATTACATTACATGATGAATGAGGACTGACATGCATAACCCAGGCTTAACTTAACAGCACAAAAGTGAAAAATCCAAGGGTAGAAACCTGCAAGAGGAACATATTTTCCCCCCAAGTTATACGTGTTTGTATAAAAAAGCAGCCAACCATTGTGCGCACGATTTCTGTTCCAGGTCAGTGAGGGGCACTTGCTTCAACAAGAAAATTTTGATAAAGTACATCCTCATTCTTATAAAAAACAAATATAAAGCATAAGATAAGAGAATGAGATATTAATAGTTTACTTACTATCTATCAAAAGAGCAATGGCTTTCTTAGCTAAAATCCGCGCATAATAAGGATTTCTGTTTCAAATGATATAATGAGTAATCAGCACTATAAATAAAATGTTTACATCAGTCATAACACCAATAAAATAAATGCTCTCTAAATTTAAAATTTTGAGGACAGTCACAGGAAATTACATGGCAAAACTCTCTAGTTTAATCATTCAAAATGTAATGTAAACAATATCAGACTGTGTTCCCATATAGGGTCAAAATAAAAGGAAGTAAGAAGGGGAAAGGAAGTAGATTATTTAGTGGTGGCTGCATAGAGGGGGCATTGTGCAGGCTTTATGGGCCAGTTTTTGTTATCATGACTGCATAGTCCTTTACCTGTGTCAACACTCTTAACGAGAGAGACATTTAAAAAAAAAAGGGGGAGAGAGGAATTTTATGTTTGTGTGTCAGTCAACAATAACCTGAGGTGTAAGTGTAAAAGTTCATCCAATCGCAGCTGTAAGGCGGAAGTTGTCATATTTAGTCAGACTGTGTGTGGACAGGACTATAAGCCGTTGTGTCTTTATCACTGATGATCAACAACAAACTCATAATAACGATAAACTAGTCGTTGTCATTTGTGAAATTTAATAGCTGCTGTGTATTCATGTGTGATCGCGGATTATGATCAGTGTATGATGATATGATACAATCCCATTGAGGAAACAAAGAAAAAAAAATATACATGTAATAATTAAGGAAGAGTGTTTTTTATCTGGGCCATGAACTTTTAGTTAAAGGAAGCAGTAGTCTCCAAATTATCTGACAGTGAATCCAAGATTTTCTTTTTGTTATCCTGCCTGCTACTGAAGTCTTAACAGTAAATGGAAGAACAGGGGCAAACATGCAGCAAGGTGTCAATTCACAAAACAAGATGAACAGTGAATAATCAATCATCCCCTCTAAAAACACATTCCTATAAACCTAGGAGAAGAGTGTCTTACAACTTTTTTCCGGTATTGGATAATTTTTGTTAGAGGTTTTTTTTTCTTCCTATCTGTGCATTCAGTTGACAAAAGAGAGTGTGTGTGTGATAAGGCTATATAACGGTGACCTCAGTGTTGATAATTTTTTGTCGTCGTGTGGAGGGAGTGGTAACACAGGGGGACATGATGTTTAGGGTGACAGGGGAGGAGGAGGGGGAGGAGGATGACAAAAGACATGATTATATCACTGTACTTGCAGATGGAGGGGAAAGCAAGCCACTGCCCACATGGAAAACCTACTGTAAGTATATAATATGATTCATTACTCATGTTGATATAAAAGTTTTATTGTGCATGATTCATGCATTTTGTACACGACATGTACTTAATGTATATGTAACCTACTTTATAAAATAACAATTAAGAATGAAAACTTATGGTGTTCTAAAGATGCAGCTGAGTTTAAAATAATTAACACCTGTTTCTTAATTTTTTTTTTAAAGTGTGCAAAACCTTCAGATAGTGCAATAATGCTAAAGACATAAAACCACCCATACTTTACAATGTTTCCTCAATAAATGCATGCCAGTGCATAAAGCGAGGTGTAACTATTTGGAGTGAGGGTATAGTTGTATGCTGGGTGATATATTTTATTTGGCAAGGTATCTGACTCATACAGAAAGGATTAGAATACTTGAAGGTTTTAGAGAAAAAAAATGACTAATAGCTCACAACAGAACCAGATGTTTTCTTGAAGAATTTCAGTTCAGACATCCATAAAGTGTAGAAGGACTGACATTTACCATGACCAGAAACAAATAAATTCACATGTACATTTTTGCAAACTGTAAAATTTTCTGAGAGACAGTTTACTCTTTTCTCTCGGAACATCTGCCACAAAATCGTTAACTAAGCATGACAGAATTTTCCATCTCTGTTTTATTAAAAAAAAAACCTAAGATTTGACAGGAAGGATATGAGAAACATATTGTATAGATGATCTTTTACATTTCCTCCCCATTCTGAAATATTGTGTAGCATATCCTTGAAAGTGTTTTTGTAGATCTCAAGCATATTAGAAATCCAAAAAGAGTTCATCACTACTTGTTTACAGATTAACAGTGCATACAAGATATGGCAATAATACATAATTACAGAAGATATTTTGAAAAACTGTTTGCATCAATTGTTAAATTCCTAATTCTTAGAGAATATTTCTTAAAAGGTGTAAAACTTGTTATAGAAAAGGAAAAAATGGTTCGACTGGACTCAATTTTAAGGTCTGTTGCACCTGAATTGAATGTTCAAGTAAACTTATAATTGTCTTCTGTGTCAATTAATTTCCTTCACAACCACAGATGTTTTAATTCATAACAAAATGGTGAAAATTAAATAGGGTCAGTCAGATATAATGTTTCCATACATATCTATTTTTCCAAACTTGAGGTAGCTAGGGTACTTTCAGAAAAAAATTTAAAATCTAATTGGAATGTATCTTTTTGCAAAACATTCTATTTAATAATATTGTCATTTTAAAAAATAAATTTCTTTCAATTAACCCCCCCCCCCCCAAAAAAGGGAAAAAAACCTTGATGGTTAGTATTTTCTTATTTAGGTCATTATTGACCACTACAATGTAAATGTGCAGTCATATGCCTGTCATTTGTCTGTTGACCACTTGACTTGTGTGCCAAGGTTGTCCTGGTGTCTTCTGAAAAGACTAAATCATTGCATTATTGACAAAAAGGAAGAAAATACACAAAAATAAGGAATTATACTAATTGTTTGTGTCTTATGTTGAACAAATATGTTTTATCCACTTTATAGTGTTATCCGGTACCAGTTGAATTTCTTTTCATGAAGTGTCATATAATTATCATCCTTGATGCTTAAGTACTTATTTATAAAGCAGTTTATTCTACTTTCATTGCACATGTAATTTTTTAAACTTCGGAGTTGAGGGTATTTTTTTTCCTCATGTTTCATATGCATTTTATGTCAAGCTGATTAAAATCAGATTCTAGATGCTCCTTTTTTCAATGATATGTGGCTTATGAGGATCTGATTTTAATCAGAGTGCATTCTATGTATACACATCATTTTATGCTATATGCAAAATATGTAATTGGATACTTGATGTAATAAAGTTATTCTTCATTTGACAGTATACACCTTACAACTTCAAGCACCAAAACCAAAGAAGATTGTTTGTCAGCGTGAGGTTAGTGACTGCAGACTTCTAATTCCATATTAATCTCTAGAATATTGGTCCTTTTTCCACACCATACCTTAAGACAAGTATTACATTCAGAACAGAATTAATCAGAATGTAATTTAAAAGAAATAGATATTTAAAGGTTAATGATTAGGAGACGCCATTACATTGTAATTGATGCAATATACACTTTCAAAAAAAGAAGTTTTAATTTTACTCAATGAAGAATTCATTAACTGATGAAGAAATTGCACAACATAATCAAATGAAATGTTTAAATTAAGTGTGCAAAAACGAGGAAAGAATAATGTTTTGATGGAAATAATTTTCATTTCAGATCCCTGGAAAGCCTCCATTTTATGGAAAAGAGTGAGTTTTGAATGCTTTTAATGTTATTGTCCTGTTTGCATGGCAATGCATGCTAAGAAAAAAAAAGAAGTACAAGTAATGCAGAATCAATAATTAACAGGTGGTATCATTTATCTCACAGACAGAGAATAAATTTTCCAAGAAAGTGGATACTCATTGTAATTATTTCAACACTTTGGGCTCAAAATCAAAAGTGAAAGTTATGAACAATCTGAAACTACAAATTTGATGTTTGTTTTTCAGATTTAATTTTTGTCTTTTTCTTGTTTTTTTAGATTCCATGGCAACATAACACGGGAGGAAGCTGATGTATTATTGTCCTCGGAGGGGGACGGGAGTTACCTGGTGAGGAAGAGTGAGAGAGCAGCCGACGCCTACACCCTAGCTATAAGGTAAATCTCCAAAAATCTCTCAGAATGGGGGGGGGGGGGACAACGCCTACACCCTAGCTATAAGGTAATCCCCAAATCCCCCAGCACCTGTCAGACAGTAGATAAAGGGGCTAAAAGTGCACCTGTTGTCATCTCTGTGATCTACATACAAAAAGAACACACTGTTCCTTCATTGTACTATCAAATAAGTAAGACAAAGACCTGATATTTTTGTTACTATGTGAAGAGGATTTTTTTTAATTCCTCTACCTGTTGGATAGATTGTAAATACTCATTTTTATATACTAATTTGCCAAATAAATGTGTGTTACAGTTCATTTCTCTCTTCAACATAAGTGAATTTTACAGTAATAGCTTAATATTTATGGAATATGTATTCCTGTCAAAATATGAAGGAAAAAATTCTCTTAACATAAATAAAAGGTTTTTATTGTAAAATTAAATTGTTATAATTATAGCTGTTTGAATATATCTAGATATTTTATACATTGTTATTTTGTCTTGGGCATGAAAGATGGATTATGTTAAAACTGCTCACAAAGATCTTGTCCCTTATTGGTCATGTTTTCCCGTTACTCAGGAAAACCCAACAGAGACTTCAGGCTGCATATACATGTAATACATGCAGTATTAATAACCAATTTCTGGTGTTCCTATACACTGCTCAAGGCACTTGACATTTACACACAGAGAGAGAAGCACTTGAATTGTGTTTTACACACATGACCCTCAGTTTTATCACATAATCTTGTTCAAGTTCTATATGGTGTGCTAATGATAGGAAGTCGGTACTATATTACACGTGAAGTATGTGTACTTGTAGTGTACTCTGTATTATTGAAGCAATACAGTCTGTCAGTGATTTAATTCAAGAATTAAAGTGGGGCATTGATTTTTATTTCCCCCAATCATTATATATTAACTGTATTTTTTTCCCTTATAAGGAATACAAAAAATCAGAATGAGAAATTGTAATTATCTATTAAACAGGAAGCCCTTTACTGTGTTATCCTAGAAATGACTCTAGTTAAAAGACTGCATTTTAAAAAAAAAAAAAATTACATACATATATCTTGCCTGATTGGGTAAGGTGTTTATGTATGGAATATACTATAAAAGCAGAAAATTTCGTTGGGGATAAAATTCTCATACAAATTTTTCCTGTGAATGTATATTAACATATGATTAAGAAGAGTTTACTTCTGAAAGAAAAAAATTTAATGCCTATGAATCATTTTAGAAAAAAAATCAACAAAATTTTATTCCCATGAAAACTTGTATTTAAACAGTATGCATTCCACTTTGTACCTTTGTACTTTTGTACATATGACTCTCTGTGAAGTGTGTATGTATACATACTCACATACATGTAGAGTGCCAGTTAGTAAATGTTACACAACTACTTTACACTTTCAGAGTTTCTTTTTTTATGTAAATATATGTTATGTCTATGATCAATTTATTCTTAATTGCATGTAAATTAAGAATTGATTTTATACATGTATTTCATAAAGGCAAACACTCAATGGAAGGTTATGTATCTAAATTTTGCTGTTAAGTTTTGCATTGAATGACGTTTGACCGACTGTTTCCATGAAGTATAACTTCCTGATATTTTGATTTATTAATTACCAAAGTCTGCTTGTCCTGCCCTTGTGCATCATAGGTCAGGAAAGTAACATTAAATTTTATAAATGAGGAGTGCATGGAATTGATTCCATGTACCAGCAATTGAGTTTTATTAATTAATTAATGTGCAACAAGTGCAAAATTCTTGCAAATTGACATTGTTTCGGAAAGGCGTAAACTTGTTACATTAGTTAATTCCCTGTCTAAATGGCAGGCTTTCCTGGTGTGTGCACAGCAGCATCTGGAACAAGTTGTTTCCTCCAGAGGTTTATTTTTATTCCAATGAACAAAACATGAGTGGATTTGCTCTGCTATTTAAGAGAGAGTGCCTGGTTTAGAGGTGCTTGATTAGTTCACACTAGTAACAGCTAAAACAACAAAGACAACTATCTGTTATGTGCATGGGTACATGCAACAATTTTTTGGGTCATTGTACAGGGTATCTCATCTGCAAGTTATAATTATTTTCCTGTAGTGTCTTTTTACATACCGGTATATTCCCCATGTTGGTTGGGAAAATATCCCCCAAAAACTTAATGCATTGATTTCTCTGCACATAAAACCATAAAATTGACCATAAAAGTTTTTTATAACTATATAGGTACTGGTTACCAAAAAAGAACATAAGATCTTGTACACTTTATAAATGTGAGCAGGTGAACATACGGAAATATTATGCATATTTCCCCCTTTTTTTTAATAAGTATACAAAATAGTGCAACACCACCACCCCTCTCTAAATTATAAAATGTCTGCAGAAGAAATTAACAGTAAATATTGTACATGAGAATGCATGCTGTCTTGTATGTACAAGTTCTTGAAGAGAGTTTTGTTCATAAAAACCAAACATGCTTCTTCATATTTATGGCTATCGTGACAATCATGAGAGTAAAAACTGTAATAAGCCATCCATCAAAAGAAGTGGGAATGGATTATTTGCATTATTGGGTGCAAAAAGTTGAGAGAAAAAAAATCGAGCATAACTGCATAAAATTGTTTTAAGCAATCTTCCTATATATTCTTATTTAAAAAATTGTACTGTCTTATTTTACATTACAGGTTTGACAACCAGACCAAAAACTATAAGTTGTACTACGATGGACAGCATTATGTAGGAGATAAGCGGTTTGACACGGTCCACGATTTAGTGGCTGACGGACTTATCCACTTTTATGTGGAACTCAAAGCAGCAGATTACATTGCTTCTTTGTCAAACGAGTCAAATTATGCGGAATCTCCATACTTGGCATACACAGACAAACGTAAACGCCTTCATCGCTCTCGAAGATCTGCTAACAGTAAGCGGCTGGACTTTACAGATCAGGCAGCGGAGGGGATCAGTGGAGGAACCAATGGTAGTGTACCCCAACAGGTAAGGGATCATATCAAAACAATACGTTAGAAAACAGAAATAACTTGATAACTAATAAACAATTTATTATCAAGTCAACATAGAATGTAAGAAATACAATGGGGATATCTTAAAGAAGTATATGATAGCAAGGATGAGATAGGAGCATTTCAAAAGCAAAAGGTGAGGAGGCAAAATGTAGCAGTATACATGTAGAAATGAACATGAGATATCTCAGAATTTGTTCAAAGGTATCGTTGCATATCTGTGTTTCTATTGACATGGTCATATTTTGCTAAAGTTAAAAAAAAATAATCTGTAATGTTTACTGAAAGATAATACATATTTATATATGTTTTTAGATATACAAGTTTTATCAAAGATAGATGTGTTTTAAAATTTATAGTGTATTTCAGTATTTAGATGATGATATCGATAGTGTAGATGATGTGGAGAAATATGAAAAAGCTCACAATTTTAAAGTAAGTAGTCTTCAATACTTCAGTACTATCATTAGAGCATTGTTCTATTTATTCTATTTTGATTTCAGTGTGTAGTGAATTAAATCATGTTTATATGACAAATTGCCGGTAATTATTTGACAAATTTTAATTTGCAGACACAGAATTTCATTGGCTTACACTGGTGCGACTTCTGTGCCAACTTTATGTGGGGTCTTATTGCCCAAGGAGTAAAATGTTTAGGTATGGCATTGATTAACATAAATTTAAGTTTTTTCATTTTAATTTGTGTTTTTTAGAGGATTTCATTTTGGCATCATTAGCGAATACTTTAAATATTGCTAAAAATTGGTTTTATGTCTAATAGCTACTTTAATGTCATTTTAAAATCGCTAAAAAAATGAAAAATAAATTCATTTTTTTAAGGACAAATCTGCAAAATATCCAACAATATATTTTAAATATGTAAGTTTTATAACCCAGTAAAGATCAACTGTTGTAAAGTTTAAAGTCTATTTTGAGGCCTTGTATTTTTGAAGTGTATTGACACTTTGGTTGTTGTATTTATCACAAAAGGCATAAAACTGCACAAAAATTAGACTACATGTGATTATTAATGTTCTAATATTTGATTTTCCATGGAAATAAAGTCCCTTCATTTCACTGCAGACTGTGGTTTTGAAGCCCACAAAAAGTGCTCAGAGAAAGTGCCAAATGACTGCATGCCTGATATCAAATTTGTCAAGAACCTGTTTGGTGCAGATCTGACGACAGTGGTGAAGGCCAGGAACACACCAGTACCGGTGGTGGTGGAGAAATGCATTAAGGAGATTGAACGCAGAGGTGGGTTATTGTGAAAAGTTATCCATGTGAAAGTGATATAGGTTTTAGGTTATGATTCTAAGAAAAAAAATACAGTCTAATAAAGACAATTTTAAAAATTTTACAAGGCACATGTTCAAAACTGGGTTTATATGTTGGGAAAAAAACTCCACTCATTTTGATTCTGCTACAATATATCAAATATTAGAAATAATGTTTTGAGTAAAGTTTGACCATCTTTGGAGATAAACTATTTACAATGAGTGTTTGTCACAGTACCAAGAGATACATAAGTGTTATATTACATTGAGCAGGTGTAGAAGCTGAGGGATTATACAGGATAGCTGGTCTCCATGATGAAGTAGAGAGCATCAGAATGGCATTTGACAAAGGTAATACTAGGTAACACCTAGACTCGGTGCAGAAAATTATGCTTCAATTTAAATTTTTTAAAATTTAAAATACATCTTTGAACATTATGGTTTTATTTCAGATGGAGAGAATACAGTGATAAGTGAGGCTAAGTATGACGATATAAACAGTATTACCAGTGTTCTCAAGCTGTACTTCAGGCTCCTTCCTATCCCCCTCATCACGTTCGAAGCATATAAAATCATCATAGACACCATGAGTAAGTTACAGCACTCAGGGATTTATTAAATTATTAATTTTGCAAAACAATGTTCATACCAAAAATATAAGAAATAAAAGATGTAGAAATAATCTTTGACTAATTATTGGTCACATATTATAACTTTCTATATTTTCTTTGCAGAACAAGATGAGCCTCGATCAAGGGCCCAAATAATTAGGATAAAGGAAGGACTGACCAAACTTCCCCCAGCACATTACCAGACTCTGAGATTCTTATTAGCTCATCTGAACAGGTTTGTGAATTATGACTATTCAGGTACCAAGATATCTTTTCCTTCAAAATTTTTTTTGGTGGTGGGATAGGTGGTGGGGGTGGGGCTATACATTACACATATTTACTATGGTTTTTTATGTGTTGATGGGACATTTTTACATGTGTATATTGCATTGAATTTGTATGAAAGGTGTTTTTTCTAAAGCATACAAAGTGGTTAATGGTTTTAGCACTGACAAAAATATGCATGCTATTAAACTGTTTATGGGTCAGGGTTTTTATACCCACGCTCCAAAGGAGAAGGGGATATACTGTTTTACCTTTGTGTGTCTGTCCGTCCGTCTTTCCGTCTAGCTGTCTGTCTGTCCGTAACGTAAAATTTACATTAAAGTTTTCTCAAAAACTTCTCATCGCAGATGCTTGAAATTATGAAACAATCTTCTCTAAGGCATGCCATATGTTGGGATTCATTTTTGTTCAAATCTGATGTCAACTTCCTGTTTATCCGTGCATCTGTCCATTTCATACATAACAAATTTTCGTTGAAGTTTTCTCAGCAGCTACTCATTGCAGATGCTTGAAATTTTAGCACAATCTTCTCTGAGGCATGCCATTTGGTGAAATTCATTTCTGTTTAAATCTAATGTCAACTTCCCATGTTTGCCTGTGCATCTGTCCATTCATACATTTTTCACACATTCACAAATTTTTGTCACAGTTTTCAAAGCAAATACTCATCGCAGATGCTTGAAATTTTAACAAAATCTTCTCTGAGGCATTTACCATATGTGTGTTTATTCTTGTAAATCTGATTCATATGTGTCTGTTTGTTTTTTTCATATGTATCATACATAACAAATTTTTGCCACAGTTTTCTCACCAATTACTCATCGCAGATGCTTGACATTTTAGCACACTCTCTCTTGAGGCATGCTATATGGTGGGATTAATCTTTGTTCAAATCTGATGTCAACCTTCTGTTTGTCAGTGGATCTGTCCGTTTCATAAATTAACAAATTTTCGTCACAGTTTTCTCAGCAACTACTCATAACAGATGCTTGAAATTTTAGTACATACTTTGTTGAGGCATGCAGTATGGTGGGATTTATTTTTATATGAATCTGATGTCAAATTCCTATTTAAACGTGCATATACCCGTAACGTTTATTAACATGATATTGTATATTCACATCAGGGCAGGGGTATTACTTGTGAGCATTGGCTCACAGATTTCTTGTTTTTCATAGTATGCATTATTGAATTCTGGGGCATGGATAGGGGTTATGGCTACATGTATGATACAAGTATTGATTTAAACCACCAAGTAAACATCAGTTAGGTGTAATAAATTAAATGAAGAGGAGAAAATTTGATGTTGGAGGTTACATGAAATTTCTGGCAACATTTATATTAAAAAAATGATGATGTAAACTTTATCCCTGTAGGGTAACAGAGAAGAAGCCTGTCAACATGATGGGTCCAGACAACCTGGCGATCGTGTTTGCTCCTACACTGATGAGATGTCCCGAGCCCGATCCTATGATGAGTCTAATGAACGCTCAGTTTGAACAGAAAGCTCTAGAGACAATGCTCGTAAAATTCCGGGACCTGTTCTCAAGAATGAGCACCACTCAGAATTTTGAAGCAAGTGGCAAAAGACCTAGTTTTGATGCTCTTCGAATATCCGATCAACCTCATTTTGATAAAGTCTGAGTCTTCTTGTGATGTATGTGTGATTTTTTTATGTTTTAGCACAGTCTTCTCATTTATGTAGATTTTGCAGCTGTGTGTTGCTTAATACCTCACATGTTCATATATTAAAATGAATACCTGAGGCTCTTAAGGGTTAAACAGTACTATCTGCATATTGTATTCAGCTGAATTAATGTATCATATTGAAACTTGTTGTTTGTTTTTTATATATAAGTAGTACTGTTGGTATGAAAGTTGCAATAACACATATTTTACTGATAAGAATCAATATACAAGTTTTCTCTATCTATTTCCATATATGAGGGCTGTACAAAAAGTTGTGCAGACTCCATTTATAAACATCATGTTCAAATTTGGTAGACATGTTTTAACATTTATGTTAATTGTTTGAATTGAAAAAATCATGAAAAATGATGTCAAAGAACATTAATAGTACTTTGACTATCAGTAAAGTTCTCGGCTTCACACAGGAAAACTGTGGAATATATTGTGAAAGTGCTAGAGGAAGCAGGAAATATCTCAAAGTGAGCTGTGTTTCTGTGTATCTGGATCTGGTTGTTTTCTGAGTGGTAGAGACTGTATCAGATGATATATTTTCTGTGAGGAAACAGATTATCAGTAGGAGTTAATAACATCATCAGACTGCAGATATTAGGGCACTTTATTGTTGCAGATCTTGTGAAGCATATTGACATGGTAATAAAATGAAAATACTGAGAAGAAAACTTATGCTTAACCAGTTGGTAGAAAAGAATATGTATATATTTTGGAATAAACTTTTAGACATGAACAAAATGAATATATTTAAAAATAAAAATAATTATGTTCTGATCTTTAATTCAAAATTAAAATTAAAAAACTATATATACACATGTATTGCATAGGTGCTCATGGAAAATTCATTGAAATGTATCTCTAAATTCATGCTGTCAGGGTGTCTCTGGCCCGGGACAACTGAAGGTCGGGCTATTTCTTGCCCTGCAGGGCTACAGCCCAATTACTCATAATCACACAATATATCTGATAATTGTTAAATTTATTTTCAAACATGTTTTATCATCATAATTATTTTTTTTGTAAGTCACAATGTTAACTTAAAGGTGCTCCCTAAATGATTATAAATATGAAAATTTATTCATAGAAATATAATTTTTACCAAAAATACAGTATCTCTAAATTCATGCTGTATTTGATAGCAAGCTTGAAAACTTAGTGATTCACTTCAATTTCTTTTTATACATATTTTTTGCTATAAGTCTGTGTTTTGACTTCCTGTCACACTAATTGACCACCCTACAGGTTGTACCTAGTGTACCAAGTATACATGTTCTTATATAACCTATAGTTTGTCATATTCATGGCATAATACAAATATTATAAAATATTGAATGACTGGAACAATTTCCCTTAATACAGTGAAACTTGTCTAATCCAAATGTTGTGTATTCCGAAATCTTGTCTAATACGATGTCAATTTCAAGTCCCTTTCAAGAAAGTCAACTGATATAAATGTCCTCTAATTCATAATGTTCTCTAATCCGGCCAATTCCTTACGAACCAGTAGTGTCTGATTAGACATACTGTTATACTGTATTTAGAACATACATTTGTACAACAGTATATTTATATTCAGTATATTTCCGTGACATATTTGCTATTCATTTCATCAATTTCATACAGATTGCAAACCATTTTCATTTTGAACTGCATGTTTAAATAATAGAATTGCTACAGAAATACAAAACACAGAGATTAAAGGTTAGAATTTAAGTTGGATGCAATTTTAAGCTAGAATGTAGGTTTTGATAAAGTGGACCATAGCCCATGGTCATAAAGTTTGGTAACATTCTTATTTCACTTAATTGACTTAAATAGCCTGCTATACTTGAATTTGTAACAACAAAATCAACTTTTTTCAAAGCCTGCAGAGGACCCCCTAATAATTTTATTGAAATTCATCCATGATTTGCTGTTAATGATTGGTAAGGTATCATTACCGGTACAATGTCTTCCTTAAAAATTCACAGTAAACCAGGAATACAGGCCACAGAATTTTTTTTTAAAGAAATCCTACTGCATATCATAGAATTTTGTCTCAGCACTTTGCTACTGTGTACCAATTTAGCTGTTTTTATACTCCCTGCAAAGTTTGTGAGGAGAACCTCAAATATTAGCATTTTTAAAAAGTTGTTCTTTTGTGTTTTCCCAATTCCTGTTGCACAGGAGTGCTTTGTAGAATGTTAGAATTGTCTGTGGGGAAAGTGCTGTTAGTGTCAGTAGATGATCATTTCTTATTTTTCTATTGTTCTTTTGAACAAAGGAAGATAAAAACCACTTCATTACAGTGTATACTTATTGTTCTTTCATTTTGATTTTTCAATGTACTGTGCAAATGTAGACCTTTGTATGAATATATTTTTTTTTTATTTTTTACTAAACTCAATAAATGTGAATCAAAATTCAATTTTCTCTGTCATGTTTTTAAATCTTAAATGATTGCCTTATTACATTCAAAGGTGGTGGCAATTTTATTAGCCAGTAAGGTAAGCACTGTGAATCATCTCAAGACTTATCAATCAATCTTGAGATTATCAAGTTGCCTGTGAGATGTATACAACCTCAATTCATTTTGAGGTCACAAGGTTGTAGGTCAGGGTCAAAATAACCTAGGCAAAGGAAGTATCAGTATCTTGAGAACCATTGACTTAAATGTCATCAAACTTCATACACTGGTACTCTATGATGAGTTGATGACCCCTATTTATCTTAAGTCAGAAAGTTTAAACTGGATATGTAGGTAGACACTGATTGCTCAATATCTTGAAAATCCTTGGTATGACAGACATCAGACTTGGTACACTGTTTCCCCTGAAGGAGTAGATGTCAGGGCACAAAAGCAAGGTTAAACGTCAGAGTATACTTAGGAAGATTTTAACTCACAATGTCAACCATGCAGAAAATGCAGCTCAAACTTGAATTGGCATCCAGCAAGTCAGTCAGAGTGCATATTTACATGTGAAAATCAGTGCAAACAGATAGGGATTAAAGTCAAACTTCAATGACTCTGCTTTATAATTCTGTATGTGTACATAACATATTCAAAATTTAGCACAATGATATGCAATGGAATAGTTAACCATGAATTAGCACTAGAGATTTCCTGTCATGCATTCATGAATTAGTGCATTATTTTCTGTACCAAAGCTGCTAAAATAAGAAGCACACTTTTTAAAGTACACACACAGTACAGCAAAACTCGATTATAACGAAGTCGCTGGGACCTATGAAATTACTTCGCTATATCCGTAATTCGTTATGACCATATAAGAAATTCATGAAATTTATATAGCTGGGGATCCAAGATAACTTCGCTATATCCGTGAATTCGCAATATCCGTGTTCGTACTAAACGAGTTTTACTGTATATTCATTTTGATCTGCCCTTCATCCAGAAAATTGAAGCAAGTTGTAAGAGTGCTCTCCCTTGATGCATCATCCATGTTTGGTTTAGGGAAAGGTTGACTTGAGGGATACTTTCCACTAGAGAGAATATTCTCCAAAAATTTTTAAATGGTCACTCATCTGGATAATTTAGGTCTGATCTAGCATCTGAAGTAAACCTGGCAGATATATATTATCCTTGTAAGTTTGCTCAATAGAGGATTTGATGTTACTTGGACTTGGAAAATGAAGACTGCTCTTAGAACTTTGCCTGCTCCAATAACATTAACCTTTGACAAGTGAAGCATTCGAAATCTGGACTGGTACAATGAAACACTTCGCCTATGCTCCTCTGATCATTATTGGCCACAATAGTACATGTACTTGAAAAGAATCACCTTCAAAAACTTGAACCTGGAATGTGTTTCAAACAAAGAATGAAGGTGATTTAACTTGGCATTTAGCAGGAATCTGCCATTCTGGGTGGCAGTGGGAGTAGATAAAGTGAAAAACATTATTTACTGTATCTGTCACATGAATTTCAGCACCTTTTGATAATTTAGGTTCCTGTGAAATAGGACATTATTGTAAAATAAATTTCTTGCCAAAAATCCCATCTTCCAAAAAAAAAACAAAACCAGAAGCTGTATTATAAATATGTATGTAAGCATTTTATTGCAAAAGTAAGCATTAACAAAGTATACAGTTTTAAAAATTGATCAAAGCATAAATTAGTATAATTTTCAGTCCTACAACCTTGAAATTCAACACAACCGATACTGCAAGGAGTGGACAACCATTTCCCTTCACTTCATAACAACCATATTCACAGAAAATCTATTGATATAAAGCCATGATCATTCTTGACATGTAGACAACACTTCATTTTTTAAACAACAATTTTAAAAAATATTCCTGTGTATAAAAACAAAAAAAAAATCCTTACAATATTTTCTTTGAGCTTCATTTGAAAAACAGGGAAACGTAAACTAACAAAGTGATCACAAGAATAGATGGAATGGTACAGAAGAAAGAAAACAAATAACAGAACAAGATAATGCCGTAAAGGCCTGAGAATACCACTCACTCATCAGTAGATAGTCAAATCCAGGGGCTGGGGTTTCAACATTCTAATCTAACTTGATTGAGCATGCTGTTAAAGACAAACTAGCTTTTCAAATTATCTAAATACATATAAATAGCTATTACCTAGCCTTTACAGTTAGCTTTTACAGTTATTTAAATACATGTAGATTGTAATTGCACTTGTTTTAATAGTTTTTAAGTAAAATTCTACCATGAGAAGTAGGTACATATACATAGATTATCTCAACACACCACTAATGATATCATATATGAATATTAGTATTAAAATGGAAATGTTATGAAGAGTAATATATTAAAGAACAAAGAAAATGGACAACCTCTCATTTATATGTGAAAAAAATATCACTGAAAGCAGAATTCATCTATAGAGAAACAGAAAATCACAATTATTATTCTGAAAATTATATCATTACTTACATAAACCTAAGACTCTAGTTCACAACCGAAAGGAATAACACCTATACTCTAAAATATGTATGAAAATAAACTGTTTTAAAAATATAAATATGAACATAAGGTGGAAAATTGTATTAAAAAAATTTCTCTACATAGTTGGATTACTTAAGAATTCTCTATCTACTACAGCTGTACTATTTAAAGGCAGTGTTTCCCCTATATAAATATATAATGCATACAAGATGAGCTACTTAGCAAAAATAAAGCATAAATTAACTTGGAAATCTTTATCTTTGTTTTTAATAAACCACATCATTTAAATTAAGAATTTCTCTACAGATGTGTTGGATATACAATTACCGGTACTAGAAATTGTGAAAGCGTACTAAATAATAATTTTATAAGTGGCATTATTTTCATTCTATCTACCTGTGCTTATGAAATGAAAATGTCAGCTAAATTCTACTCATATTGATTTGAAAAAAAAATATTTATGCATATTCTTGATTTAATGTACAATGTACATTAAATTTATGAAAATAAATCTAAATATCACTGTGCAGAATCAAGTTGCTTGGGCTGGAATAACTACAGTACAATTAAATCAAAAAGACAACCCATACTCTATTTTCCTTCTGTCTTCATTTTCTTAGACTCGTAATGAAATCAAACAAGAGACATTTCAAATACGTACATGTACTAATGCATTCTGTATTACCAGATATATTTTTGAAATTGCACAGTGACCAACATATAAAAAAAAAAAAAAATTGTATCAACTCTAAGTAAATTTGTTCAAATTTGACTTTAAAACTGCACCATACTTTCTTCTCATTTAATTGTATATAGCACTAATTATTTAAATCAGCACCTGGTGTATCCAAACTGCCCTTGCTGTGTTTTTATCTCATATACAGTACC